AAGGCGCCTCAATTCGCTGTGCAGAGTTGCGTGCCTTGGGCCAGAAACCTATGATTGTGGGTTCCCGGTTCGCCCTGATTATGTTTCTAGGTTTGTCAGCACCATACCCGTGCCCTAGGGTTTCCCCGAAGTGGTAAACGTTTGAGACCTGCATCACTTCGGGCTTTCCTCCCTCATTTAGCTGACACGCCGTGATATAACTGTAATACTGTTAAAAGCGGCGTTAAACACAACTCACTCACTCACTCACTCACTCACTCACTGACTCCTCAAACGAAATGGTTTTGTACTGATGAATAACCACATGTAGTTTTTAGGCGTCTTAACAAAGTTAGCAAGTATCATACTCGTTGTATGCCTTAGTGTAACTTGGGGTGTTCATGAATAACACGTATCATTGTATGTGAAGAGGATTTATTGACGGCCTAGACAAACTGGGGCGCCAACTGAGTTCACCAAACACCAACTGACAGGACAATGATGCCTGCATCTGTTAGGACGATATCAAGAGGTGTAAATATGACACAAAACAAATGTTGTTTGTTGTCAGCATGGTCAAGGTGTAGTGGCTGGTTTGCTGGTTAAATGCTGGGTGTTAGTATTTTAAACAAGGCCAATCAGGCGTAAGCTGAATTAAAGAAAGGACCGACCCAAGCTACCTACCCTACCCCACAGCATGCAGTGGAAGTTAAATAAAAGAAACCTCCACGCAGAGATTAAGTCATTATTCTGCTGCAGCGCTGAAGAATACAGAAGCCATACAGGTTTATTTGATTTAATGCAACAGAGGCAGACACACACTTCTTATGTATAAACATGTATGTGTGAGTGTGTATGCATGTAGGTGAGGTGGTAAGGTGAACTAAGGTTTAACGTTGCGTCAAGATTATTGCACTTCTATAGCGACGCATGTGTGTGTGTGTGTGTGTGTGTGTGTGTGTGTGTGTGTGTGTGTGTGTGTGTCAGGACTAATGCCGATTTTATAGTGCTAGCCCACTGAGATACGGCTTAACATGAATATCCCACTCAGACACGGTATACAGACTCCGAGCCGATCAGTCCTTGTTTTAGCCCCTTAATGCCAAGCGCCAGACTGGGTAAAAACAAGTACCATCTTTTTTCGCTCGGTGACGTTTTGCTGAGGTGCCGCTTTAGCTTTAATCCGTGAGTTGAAATGGGATTAAAGGTCAAGTGGACAATCATGTTTTTGTTGCTGGTCAGGGCAGGTTTTACAGTGCTAGCCCACTGTGACCCCCCCCCCCCCCCCCCCCCCCCCCCCCCCCCCCCTCCCAGGCTTGCAAGATTAAAATAAAAACTCCTACCAGGTCTTACTAGAAAAAAAGATAAAACCTCATAACTAGGGCTTGCAAGAATAAAATAAAAACCCTACCAGGTCTTACTAGAAAAAGGTAAAACGTCATACCTAGGGCTTGCAAGAATAAAATAAAAACTCCTACCAGGCCTTACTAGAAAAAAGGTACAACGTCATAACTAGGGCTTGCAAGAATAAAATAAAAACTCCTACCAGGTCTTACTAGAAAAAGGTAAAACCTCATACCTAGGATTTGCAAGAATAAAATAAAAACTCCTACCAGGCCTTACTAGAAAAAAGGTACAACGTCATACCTAGGGCTTGCAAGAATAAAATAAAAACTCCTACCAGGTCTTACTAGAAAAAGGTAAAACCTCATACCTAGGGCTTGCAAGAATAAAATAAAAACTCCTACCAGGTCTTACTAGAAAAAAGGTAAAACGTCATAACTAGGGCTTGCAAGAATAAAATAAAAACTCCTACCAGGTCTTACTTGAAAAAAGGTTAAACCTCATACCTAGGGCTTGCAAGAATAAAATAAAAACTCCTACCAGGTCCTACTAGCAAAAGGTTAAACCTCATAACTAGGGCTTGCAATAATAAAATAAAAACTCCTACCAGGTCTTACTTGAAAAAAGGTAAAACCTCATACCTAGGGCTTGCAAGAATAAAATAAAAACTCCTACCTGGCCTTACTAGAAAAAAGGTAAAACTTCATACCTAGGGCTTGCAAGAATAAAATAAAAATTCCTACCAGCTGGTCTTACTAGCAAAAGATTAAACCTCATCCCTAGGGCTTGCAAGAATAAAATAAAAACTCCTACCAGGTCTTACTAGAAAAAGGTGAAACCTCATACCTAGGGCTTGCAAGAATAAAATAAAAACTCCTACCAGGCCTTACTAGAAAAAAGGTAAAACGTCATAACTAGGGCTTGCAAGAATAAAATAAAAACTCCTACCAGGTCTTACTAGAAAAAGGTAAAACCTCATACCTAGGATTTGCAAGAATGAAATAAAAACTCCTACCAGGTCTTACTTGAAAAAAGGTAAAACCTCATACCTAGGGCTTGCAAGATTAAAATAAAAACTCCTACCAGGTCTTACTAGAAAAAAGATAAAACCTCATAACTAGGGCTTGCAAGAATAAAATAAAAACCCTACCAGGTCTTACTAGAAAAAGGTAAAACGTCATACCTAGGGCTTGCAAGAATAAAATAAAAACTCCTACCAGGCCTTACTAGAAAAAAGGTACAACGTCATACCTAGGGCTTGCAAGAATAAAATAAAAACTCCTACCAGGTCTTACTAGAAAAAGGTAAAACCTCATACCTAGGGCTTGCAAGAATAAATTAAAACTCCTACCAGGTCTTACTAGAAAAAAGGTAAAACGTCATAACTAGGGCTTGCACGAATAAAATAAAAACTCCTACCAGGTCTTACTTGAAAAAAGGTAAAACCTCATACCTAGGGCTTGCAAGAATAAAATAAAAACCCTACCAGGTCTTACTAGAAAAAGGTAAAACGTCATACCTAGGGCTTGCAAGAATAAAATAAAAACTCCTACCAGGCCTTACTAGAAAAAAGGTACAACGTCATACCTAGGGCTTGCAAGAATAAAATAAAAACTCCTACCAGGTCTTACTAGAAAAAGGTAAAACCTCATACCTAGGGCTTGCAAGAATAAATTAAAACTCCTACCAGGTCTTACTAGAAAAAAGGTAAAACGTCATAACTAGGGCTTGCACGAATAAAATAAAAACTCCTACCAGGTCTTACTTGAAAAAAGGTAAAACCTCATACCTAGGGCTTGCAAGAATAAAATAAAAACTCCTACCAGGTCCTACTAGCAAAAGGTTAAACCTCATAACTAGGGCTTGCAATAATAAAATAAAAACTCCTACCAGGTCTTACTTGAAAAAAGGTAAAACCTCATACCTAGGGCTTGCAAGAATAAAATAAAAACTCCTACCTGGCCTTACTAGAAAAAAGGTAAAACTTCATACCTAGGGCTTGCAAGAATAAAATAAAAATTCCTACCAGCTGGTCTTACTAGCAAAAGATTAAACCTCATCCCTAGGGCTTGCAAGAATAAAATAAAAACTCCTACCAGGTCTTACTAGAAAAAGGTGAAACCTCATACCTAGGGCTTGCAAGAATAAAATAAAAACTCCTACCAGGCCTTACTAGAAAAAAGGTAAAACGTCATAACTAGGGCTTGCAAGAATAAAATAAAAACTCCTACCAGGTCTTACTAGAAAAAGGTAAAACCTCATACCTAGGATTTGCAAGAATGAAATAAAAACTCCTACCAGGTCTTACTTGAAAAAAGGTAAAACCTCATACCTAGGGCTTGCAAGATTAAAATAAAAACTCCTACCAGGTCTTACTAGAAAAAAGATAAAACCTCATAACTAGGGCTTGCAAGAATAAAATAAAAACCCTACCAGGTCTTACTAGAAAAAGGTAAAACGTCATACCTAGGGCTTGCAAGAATAAAATAAAAACTCCTACCAGGCCTTACTAGAAAAAAGGTACAACGTCATACCTAGGGCTTGCAAGAATAAAATAAAAACTCCTGCCAGGTCTTACTAGAAAAAGGTAAAACCTCATACCTAGGGCTTGCAAGAATAAATTAAAACTCCTACCAGGTCTTACTAGAAAAAAGGTAAAACGTCATAACTAGGGCTTGCACGAATAAAATAAAAACTCCTACCAGGTCTTACTTGAAAAAAGGTAAAACCTCATACCTAGGGCTTGCAAGAATAAAATAAAAACTCCTACCAGGTCCTACTAGCAAAAGGTTAAACCTCATAACTAGGGCTTGCAATAATAAAATAAAAACTCCTACCAGGTCTTACTTGAAAAAAGGTAAAACCTCATACCTAGGGCTTGCAAGAATAAAATAAAAACTCCTACCTGGCCTTACTAGCAAAAGATTAAACCTCATCCCTAGGGCTTGCAAGAATAAAATAAAAACTCCTACCAGGTCTTACTAGAAAAAGGTGAAACCTCATACCTAGGGCTTGCAAGAATAAAATAAAAACTACTACCAGGTCTTACTAGAAAAAGGTAAAACCTCATAACTAGGGCTTGCAAGAATAAAATAAAAACTCCTACCAGGTCTTACTAGAAAAAGGTGAAACCTCATACCTAGGGCTTGCAAGAATAAAATAAAAACTACTACCAGGTCTTACTAGAAAGAAGGTAAAACCTCATAACTAGGGCTTGCAAGAATAAAATAAAAACTACTACCAGGTCTTACTAGAAAAAGGTAAAACCTCATCCCTAGGGCTTGCAAGAATAAAATAAAAACTCCTACCAGGTCTTACTAGAAAAAGGTAGAACCTCATACCTAGGGCTTCCAAGAATAAAATAAAAACTCATACCAGGTCTGAAAATGTGAAATAAGTGGTCCTTAATTGTAAATAATATTTCACTTATCATTAAATATTACAGAAGTTAATATTTCAACATTTCTTAGGCACATCTTCACATTGAAAACTAAAAACTATACCACCGAAAGTAACCGCCCCTTGATCTATGACAGATTACCAAGGAGAATGCCACGTTTATCATGTCACTCCACAAATGTTAAGGGGATGTTTGCTCGCGCTATAAAGCTGGGACCTCGGATCTGTCTGCCGTAGAAGCGTCCAGTCATTGGCGAGGACTTTTCGTGGAGCTCACGATGAGTACCAAAATTGCGCTGTCCTTTCTGCTGCTCATATGTAAGTACATAATTTATCTTATACGGTAAAACTAACACAGCGTCACAATGTCAGGATAAATGTATGCTCCATCATGGGAAACCTTTGCTCATGGGTTCGAAAATAAAAGATTGTTTCGGCATTTATTGTCACTGTCAACCTCAGTTCACGGTAGTAAAGAATGGATATGATCTTAAAACTGTTTTATATGGAAACACAAATTTAAGTGAAGATATTAATCTACGACCAGAAACTAGAAATGTTCTACCTTATGAAATGGGTAGTGTTGGAATATATCTTTGATACACGAGTTATAAATTGATTATATACAAGTGGTACACGAGTTAGACATCTATAGATTGCTGTATATTTATTCATCTGATGTGTGTACATGTATACATCCATCTATATGACACTTATTTAAATACTACTTATATTTTGCTAAGTATGTTTATTAAACTGTTCTGTAAAATGTATTACGTAATTTATACAGGGGAAGCCTTGTTTATAAATCCCCATCTACTATACATATGATTGAGAAATACATAACCACTGTTCGGTTGTGACAGAAAAATCTACACACGAGTGATTAATCTGAACGAGGCTTTGATACAAATTATTTGAGTGTTTATTTTCTTAAAATATGAAATTTAAGTCTCGATTATTTTAATATAACTACATCTAGATCTATGAAATATGTTTTTGACGCTGGGTTACACAAACGATCGATCAGATCTAGATCAACACTGTAGACATTAGCTTATGTGCTTGATCGTTCTTTTTCAAAAATAGCAAAAAACAATATGGTATGTTTCACTATTTTATCAGTATTTTTACATGAATGAAATAACTGTTTTTTACCTGTTTTATTAGTCTTGTAAACGTCCAGTAAAGAATCTACCGGAGTGGCTCACCTGGTCCCGTTATATCGATGCTGTATCTCGCTTCGGTCACCGTCTTCCCAATTCTGCAACTGAATCTCGTACATTGGGAAGCCAAAATTCTCTGATACATCTCCACATATCACACACCACATATCAACATGACCATCATCAACAACATCGTCATGTCCAAGTTTGTATGTTTTTTGGCTCTGACGAATGCCGGCAATATGTGCAGTGACCTCAATCATTCACTCACTCTTACGTTAGATTATGTTCAAGTTGGACAATTGATGTTGTCTATATTTATTACCTTTTTTACATCATCCTATTTGCATTTGCAGGTGTAGCTTCTGTTGCCTGCTTCAACAAGGAAAGGCTTCACTTCCGGGGTGAGTACTTTTGTGCTTTTGAATAGAAATTTCAAAACGTTTTACATTTTGAAAGGACGAGGTATGATAAGGTCGATTTTGGCCCATGGGATCATTTCAGAATTGAGGTATAAATCATTGTGAAATTCATATGAATGAGAGTTATACTTTGAATATTTCAACATCTGTTGGGACATATAAGAACATTAAGTTTGCAGGTCAGGCTAAATGTATTCAGAAGACTGGTTTTAGAGGTTTTCATGAAGCGTTTTTCTAACCTTTGAACATGAGCAAATCGTTGAACTTAGATGATGTCCTTACGAACCGTTGAAACATGTGGTCAAAAACTATATCATTGGACATAAACTAGACATCCTCAGAATTATCTTGACAATCGACAAATGAACCATTTTCACTCATTTAGCCATATATGTACTTGATCACGTCAAAAGTCCAAAAACTTGCAAGTGTAAGAAAGAAAAAGTGTAGTCGTCCATTGAACACGTCTGATCATTTTCATACCAATATTCAAAACATAATTTGACATATCCCGTGGCCAAAAGGGCCCTTATCATGCATCGTGCTTTCTAGATGCTACATGTAATCATGATTGATAATTACAAGCGAGAGTCCGAACTCCGACGTCACCGTTAGTAGCATCCTTTGAACGTGGGTTCGAATCCCAGATTTATGATTCTAGGTTTCTCAACGCCATCCTTTTACTCGTGGGTTTTTCAAAGTGGTAAGAGTCTAAGACACTTCAGGTGTTCCTCCCGCTACAAGCCACATGACTGAAATAGTCTTCACTCACTCATTTAAAGGCATGACAAGTCCTTTACTTTACCGAGTGATAAACAACCGCGGGATTTCAATAGCAGTCAGAACTTAAAAGACGTTAAGAACCAACCGATTCTTTACAGATGTAATGATATATCCTGTGAAGGGCGGTGGAATAGCCCGGTGGTTAAAGGATTCTCTGGTCTTTAGGGATATCAGGTTCGATTACATACATAGGTACATTGTGTGAAGCCAATTTCAGGTGATGACCTGATGACCATTTTAGGGACCAGTTCAAAAGTTCGATCTTAATCTTAATTCCTTAAATTCAGTGTCCCTGCAAATTTTCCCTCCGACAAAATCAACTTGCTTGATTTCTCAGTGTCTTATATAGTAGGGCGGTCGGGTAACCTAGTGGTTAAACGTTCGCTCGTCACGCCGAAGACCCGGGTTCGAATCCCGACATGGGTACAATGTGTGAAGCCCATTTATGGTGTCCCCCGCCCTGATTTTGCGGGAAAATCGCTAAAAGCGGCGTAAAACCATACTCACTCCCTTACTGTTACATGGTAACTGAACTAAACTGGCCCTATTTTGATTCACGTGCTGCTTGGAGTTGTCATTAAATACATCCAGTCTTTTTACAGTCTTTTTTTTTGCTGGGTCCCTCAGGTGATGTCGAAAAACTTTTTTTATCTGACATCGAAATTTGGAACTTGTCCCTTAGCTATGTATCTACTTTGTGTTGCCAACTTAACATGACCCACATACTTGGCAGGAACAAACGACCTTCGTGATGATGCTGAGGACACCGATTCTACTCGACAAAGAAGCACTGGTAAAGATGTAGTGGAAAGGGAAGGAAGGGTTGGACAGGAGAGGAGAGGCGATGATACAAGTGATACCAACGACGAGGAGCGCAGGAAGAGAAAGGAAGACACCGATGATACCGACGATGATGAGGGTAGGAAGACCGAAAAAGACACCGATGATACCGACGGCGATGACCGAAGGAAGAGAAAAGAGGACACCGATGATACCGACGATGATGAGGGTAGGAAGACCGAAAAAGACACCGATGATACCGACGGCGATGAGCGTAGGAAGCGAGAAAAAGACACCGATGATACCGACGACAATGATCTTAGGAAGAGAGAAAAAGATATCGATGAAAGTGATGACACCGACGACAATGATGATACTGACGATGATGAGCGCAGAAAGAGAGAAAAAGACACCGATGATAATGATGATACTGACGACGATGAGCGTGGGAAAAGAGAAGAAGACAACGATGATACCGACGACGATGAGCGCAGAAAGAGAGAAAAAGACACCGATGATAATGATGATACTGACGACGATGAGCGTGGGAAGAGAGAAGAAGACACCAATGCTATACGTGCGTGATAGGAGACGATATCGAACCTCGATGATAAGGGTATGTAACGGTTATTGTAAGAGTTATAACCAAACTCAAAAGACACGTTGTAGAATAGGTCTTCAGCAACCCATGATTGCCGTAAAGGGCGATTATGCTTGTCGTAGGAGGCGACTAACGGGATCGGGTGGTCAGGCTCGCTGACTTGGTTGATGCATGTCATCGTATCCCAATTTCGTGGATCGATGCTCATGATGTCAATCATTGGATCATCTGGCACAGACTCGAATTATTATAGACGAGGAATATTGCTGAGTGCGGCGTTAAACAACAAACAAAAACAAAAAACAAACTAAAAATAGTATTGCAATAAAAAAACTTCGACCGTAAACTAACAGCTGACGGCAACTAATAATACCTGCAATTAATAACTCCATTTTTTATCGAACGTGTAGAGTCGGAGAATAAAGACGGGCCTATAGATATATAAACGCCCAATGATCATTCGAAATCACTGTGTTCAGAAAAAACAATATTTATTTTCTTGTCTTTTCTTTTTCCAAGGTTCGTAATATGGAAAGAGCTACTCTGCAGAGGAAACGAAGTACTTGGTGGACCCAAAAACGGTGGGAAAAGAATTATTTGATGGAAACGTTTTACTCGACACACGGCACAGTAACTGCAATGAACCAACCCATTCTACCTTTACTGTTCAAAATGGGGAACAGTTCGATAATAAATCGTATTAAAAGACCGTTTGACATGTTTTATTATAATTCATCAAATGATTTACACAGGGATTGTCAGCGTCTTAGACAACTGCTTCGACTGAGCACATTAATTAACATGACATCCCTATGTCCGGAGACGTTGATGATTTTGACACTGCCAGTCTCGATGTCTCGATTTCTCCCAATATGGCGTTTACCAATAGTTCAGCAACTTGTTCTTGCATTTTTTACGTTTTCCAAGTGCAGTATAGAAAATATATTACTTTAGAAAATACCAGTGTCTTCAAAAACACAAGTTGGACTGAAAAATATATATCAATCCATTATGTATCACTTCGGACTTTCTGAGTAGTCAATCGTGGTGTCTCCTTGCCCAAGTTAACTTGTACGAAATGTGTCTCTGTTCAACCAGCAGTGAATGGGTACCCGGTAGGATGAGATGTGATGAATGTTAACCTTCTTGTGCCACACGGGTATTTGGGGTTGTATGATCCCCAGGGAGATGAAAATCGAGAGCTGATCCGCTGACCGGGTTAATAATGGCTTGGTCAACAGCGCTTTAAATACAACATCTGGGAATTATCAAACAAAAAATATTGTCTGGACCACGGAGGCTGTCGTTGGAAATACGAACCTGTCGTGTTATCATAATATATTTCATTTCTGAGGGGCATCATAATGTGTATTTGATAATATACAGGGAACTACCATTATGACGAATACGCTTATAACAAACTTCCGGATATAACGAACTGTTTCTTGGTCCCGTCCGTTTTGTGTAAATTTGTTGTACATATGCTTATAACAAACTATGATTATGACGGATAAAAGTTAGTGGTCCCTTTGAGTTCGTTATAACCGTAGTTGACTGTATATCCATACAAAATTGGTGTTTAGTGTATTTGTAAGACTGTATACATAATGATCAGAAACATGTACTTGTACGACCCGCACCTAAACTGGGAGGAGCATCAAGCAAAAAGAACGATGATTTATTCGTAGCTGACCACGTGGGGGCACGTGACGTGTGGCGTAATGGCGCGTGCACATTGACACTCACAATATGTAAATAAACCTAGCACAACACTATGTCCGAAAAATACTATTTCAACCAATCACCAATCATAGCGCCATTATCAGTTTCAATGATAGGAAAAACAAATCGATATCGAACTTTACAGCACATCGTATTCATAAGCGGTAACCCAAATGCAAAAAGGTATTCATTTTAGAAGTTATGTTGATGTTTCAATAGCTGCCACATGTGAAACCGACCTTGACACGATTTGGTTACAATATGGCGTCGACTCACGTTAGATGCCGGGGCCACACCACTTTTGAAATCTCTTTTTGCGAAAAAATGTGGAACGCTTAGGGCACACGGTCAGGTAGATTGAGCAATAACACATGTCTCTTAGTCATTTCATATGTAAAAAGCAGCAGTTTTTTGTCGAAACGGGCGAGCGTGAGGGACAACTGGTAGACGAGAAATTGCGGCACAGCTTTGATGCGAACGTGCCTTGAAGATCACTTCGGGCTTGGCCATTCAATGTCTACGTTTAGATCATGAACTTCCTGCCTATAAACATACACAATACCACCTTAATACTGACGATCATAGCTATCTTTCCATATCTTAGATATGAATATTTTCTGCAAATCAGCATAATAAACAGAACGACAATCTGTACTGTCCTTTCGTTTCTTATAACTCCGTGCTAAATCGCCACGACACACAGTCGATAAAAAATGTGCAATTCTTGATCAAAAAGCTTTCTTTGCGGGCTATTATACAATGTATATTGAGTTATAGTTATAAAATAAAATGAAACCGCAACTTATTAACCTGTTTATATGAAATTACAATATTGACTATTACACTCCGACGTAACGTTGCAGTTACATGAACATTTCATCCTCTAACATTCGTCTCCAGAAAACAACTTCATACTGACACTATACACTAATCAATTTCTTCTGCAAACAATGTTCAAACAAACAGGAGATTATCAAAGGCTCATACATTTTGCGGCAACAATCTACGTGAATCATATTGAACATTGATAACTATCCATATTAAATTTAATTGTGTGAAAAAATGAATAAAAGATATGCAGACCCGTGAACAATGCTTGCAGTAAAAGGCGACTATGCTTGTTGTAAGAGGCGACAATATCGGGATCGGGTGGTCAGGCTCGCTGACTTGGTTGATGCATGCCATCAATCCCGATTGCGTTAATAGATGCTCATGATATCAATCACCGGATTGTCTTGTCCAGACTCGATTATTTACAGACCGCCGTCATATAGCTGGAATATTGCTGAGTGCGGCGTTAAACAACAAAACAACCAACCAACAATAAGGAAGTCACCATGGCGGAAAGTTAGAAGCTTGCACAACTTCGAAGCACTCACGTCAGGCAGAGCATAATATTTTGTCAACATATAGCATGTCAATAATATATTATTTAGGGCGGTGTAACTAAATTTTGTTTTTACTTTCCATCGTAATTTAAGTGTATGGAAAGTACTGGAAACCGTAAACACAAGCACAAAGTTACAAATCATGTGGATATTTATAAATAGATTTTAACAGTTACATTGCCCACGTTTTTTTGTCTGGTGTTCTTAGTAAAACCAATATAACCTGAAAGGCATGGGTCTTTTTAATGAATAAACATAAAAGAATAGTTGATCAAAGCAAAGCAGCACATTATTCCCCCTCCCTGCTATATTGGTTTCATACCATATATTTTATTTGGGCATCTGGAACATTGGGTCGGGCATGTCACCAGGGATAAATCTAGACCTGCTCAGGGGCTGCCCCAAATCTCTAGCAGATGTCAGTAAACTGTCCATCTTCAAAAGTTTTAACATATCTATGCCATCCTAAAATAAGGCAGAATGTAAGGAAATTACACGTTATTAGTTTTTCCCCAATCTGTTTGCCAAGGGCACTTAGTTTTAAATTCTAAATTTAGATAAAAATCCCTGGTCACGCTTCCAGAATATTGGACTGCCATTATTTAGTACACGTATGTGAGAACAGGATAAAAAGAGCACATGTAACTGCCATGGTTATGGCAAATCAATCAGATCCATGTTCCAGAAAAGGGAAACCTACGAGGGTAAATGTATCTGAAGACAGGGTCTGCAGTACTTCACATCAATTAACTTGCATAGATAAAATATACAACACAAATTAAAATTCATATATGAACATTTTTTCAAAAGACTTGTCATGAATCCAAGAATTATTACTGTTAACTACTAAACATGTAAATCAAGTACAACAAACATCTCATAAGGAAGAGAATTTATGGATGTCAACTTCATAATTATGAGCAACACCACCATCCATAAATTCTCTTCCTTATGTGAATCTCTTCTAAATGCCATCCAAAGACTTAAATATGTCATGAGTTCAAAACTTTAATCAACAAAATACCTGTTGACATCATGACTGTCACTTAGTAAGAAAAAATAATTCTTTTATTGCTCCAGAAACCACATGCCTGTAGGACATAACACTAAATAATATATATATTTCATTTTCAAAACACATGTGAAGTGACAAGTATTACTAATGCATACACAACATACATTAAAATGTAAGTATCAGGTAGCTGGATACCTGGACTTCATTAGGTATTTAAACATATATTCCAAGTATGCCTCACAAATATTGGTGTGAAATAATAAAAATACACACAAACAGGGATTCAGACCAGTTCCTTTCCTATGATATTGACTAATCCATAATGTCCTAAAGTTGTTCTAAAACTTAATAAAGTCATATCAAAAGATAAAAAAAACACTTGAAAATGTCCCGAAACCAGCAAAATCACTGTAAAGTAAATATGAAGCTCATTCTCAACATTATCATAACCAAAACTTGAACAATATGTAAATAACCAACATCCTTGAAGCTCTGCACGCTAACGTCGAAGCCATTCGACAGAGGTGTCACTTCCCGTGCATCTGATGTCGAACCCATTCGACAGGCGGATAGCATAACGACACCCCAAAATAAAACCCGCCATATCTATTTACCAAGAAGGCTTTGCGTAACATTTATAAATTACGTATGTCACACATAAATGCTCAGCTTGCTCAATATCAAAACTTTCAGTCATTTATTTACCTCAAAAAGAGTTAACAAAGTTTCGGCCAAACTTCTCGGCACACAACTACCAGAAACGGCCATTGTTGACTTTTGGCACTTCACGTTAAACGGCATGCACTCCGATATTTTCTTTATAATTTCATCATTTTTCCTATTCGATCATAATTTTTTG